GAGGCTCGGGTGATCCGCGTCGCGGCCACGATCACGGGCGGGCCCCGCGCTGGCTACGCGCTGAAGCATAGGAACATCCATGACCATGCCCTATCGCGCGAGCAGGTGCGGCGCGTTGATGGCGCGATCCAGGCCGATCTCCGTGACATGGAGATGGGCCCGAGGAGGCGCTGTGTAGCGATCGTTGGCGACTTCAACTACGGCGAGAATGCGGAGGTGGAGGGCCCGCTGGTTCCCGGCGGCGGGCGCAGGGCTGCCACCCACCCCCGCGGGCGTGCATGGGCGCGCGCGCTGAGCGCCGCGACGGAGATGATCCCTCACGAGCCGGCGCATGGGCACCCATGCAGGCAGATCGCCACCACGATCGACAAGATTTGCATTGGTTCCCCACGGCGGTTGCTCACGCAGACCTATCAGCATGGACAGGTGCGTGGAGAGCCCCATGAAATGCACCTCGACGGCCTCTCGGACCACGCGATGTTCTTGGTGGCATAGACCCCTCGCCCTCCCAGGAAGAGACCTACCGCGGGCGTCATCAACCCTGTGCCGTCCTTCGTCTCTGAGAGCCCGTTGTGCGGCGAGATGATCAGGAAGTGCGAGCTCGCGGTCCCCCTGGATGGTCTCTCTCCTCCTGATCGGGTACACTACCACACGAAGATCATGCAGACTGCAGTGGCCGCTACCAGAGATGCCATTCTTCGTGGGGAGCCTGGTCTGCGGGCGCCGACGGCTTTGATCTGGAGACAACTTGGTCGAGCGATATCGCGGCAGGACACGCGGATGGCTGAGACACTACTGCGCCAACATACATGGACGAGCCAGATGATCGAGCTTCGCGATCGCCCAGGACATGTTGGACGTCAAGTGGTGCTTCTTCACCCGCAGGAGTTCTTTAGACGCTACCGATTAGCGCAACGCCACGAGTTGCAAGCCCTACTCCGCCAGCGCCAGCAGGACATGGACGGCGAGCTGCGCGAGCCCAACAAGGCAGCAATGGTCAGGCAGCAGAGGGCCCTACGACGGCGCGCGGCCATCTGGGCACCGTCGTCGGCGCGACGATTCCCGGGGGGCATCGAGCTGGACGGTGGCACGGTCGCGCGGTCGGAGCAGGATATCGAGAGGGCGCCAGCGAACTACTGGCGAGGCGCATTCGGCGATGACGTGGTCAAGCGGAAGCAGTCCGCGGAGGATATGATGCGCAACCTTGCCTCCAGCATAGGCGGCGCCCCCATGTCCTTCCAGGGCGGCGTCATGGTGCCCCTCCCCCGAGATGCTCCTCGCGCTGTTCAGCGTCGACGGGAGCTGCAGGATGGCTATCTCCGGCGCTATGGCATCCAAGGAGTCGACCGGGCCTCGATCGAGCCCCCCTCGGCATGCGCCATTGCCTTGGCTCTCCGCAGTGCCCGCAAGTCGGCAACTGGGCCAGACTGCCTCGGCGCCAAGGCCTGGCTCGCCACGCCGCTGGGAGTCGACGCTGGCGGAAGCGATGGCGCGGCAGCTTGAGGGCCTACCCATGCGCCAGGAATGGAACTACTCCGTCGCCGTCTTCCCCGCCAAGGGGAAGCGGGCTGATGGCCCTCAAGAAGTCCTCAGGCGCGCCGGTGAGGCTCGGCCGCTGGCGCTGGAGAACACATCCAGGAAGGCCGTCACGTGGGCCCTCAACTCATGCATGAAGCGGGTGGCGGAGCGGCACTGCGTAGACACGCAGCGCGGCTTCATATGTGGGCGCAACTTCTGCGACAACATAGTCGAGCTCGATTCGCACTCCCGCGTGCTGTCCATGGCTGCTGGACAGGGCGACTCCCCCTTCCTCATCTCCTTCGACTGGGGCCAGACTTTCCCGAGCATCGCGCAGGACTGGCTCTTCGGCTCGCTGCGCGCCATGGCCGCCCCCCAGGGGCTCCAGGGCGCGCTGAAGGTCAACTGCGACGGCGTCGTCTCCCTTGCGGCCTCACGCACGAGGGCTGCGCTCTATGCGGTGCGTTCGCGCATCCTCCAGGGCGACCCCGCCAGCGGCGCGTTGTTCGCCCTTGCCGCCCATCCGTTCGGACAGGACCTGAAGGCCCACCTGGGCTCCAAGCTCCGGGGCATCTCGAGGTGGTGCGCCGACGACCTGGGCGCAGCGGTGATGGCCCAACGTGGGCTGATGACGCTGGCCCGCGTCTTCCGTGGCGCGAAGCTCCTGGCGGGCCCGGTGATCAAGCCTGCGAAGTGCTTCGCCGTCCCGCCGGGGGGCCCGCAGCGCGCTGACGCGCAGGAGCGGGCGAGGGGCTCCCTGGCGGCGGCTGACAAGGACTGGAAGGCGTTCCCCATCGTGGACCACCTCGAATACCTGGGCGCGCTGCTGGGCCCTGGGGCGACGCAGGGGGCGCAGCGGCGGGCGCCGACGAGGAAGTGCTCCGAGCGTGTCGGGGAGATCTCGAGGAGCCGCTCGGACACGCACGCGGCCACCCCCCTCTACAAGGAGCGCTGCGTGCCCGTCCTGTCGCGCGAGGCGCAGCTGATGGAGGCCCCCGCCTCCTTGAAGAGACTAGAGCGGGGGGGGCTGGCGCACCTGCTGCGCCTGCCAGGCAGCTTCCTGGGCGACGGGGAGTGGCGCGAGCTCGACGCCATCGGCGGCCCGCCGATCCCGTCGACCACGACGTGGTGCGAGGCGGCCCTCGCGCGGGCGGCGGTGGTCACGCTGGGCCCCCGGCGCTCGGCTGCGCGGCAGCTCCGCGGGGCCGCGCTGCAGCGCTTGCCCTTGGTGCGGACGGTCCGAGGCTACCCGTGGCCCAGCTGGCGGCGATCCGAGGCCGTCGCGGCGACGCTGGAAAGAGCTGCGTCGAGCCGCGGGACGAGCCCCCGCGCGACGGCCGCGCGCGCCCCGCGCGCGGCCGCCGCCGACGAGGCCCGCCGCGGGCGCGCCCGCCCCGCCGCAGGGGGTGGCTGGCGTGCGTTCTGGCGGCGTGTGCGGCCACAGCGCCTCCTCTACCCCTCCCTCCTCCGTTCGCATCTTCGCGCCTGCCGCCGACGTGCTCCGGAGAAGCGTTTCCGGAGCACGTTGGGCGATTCTCGCCTTCTTCCTCGCCTCCATCTCCGCCTGCAGGAGCGTCTCCAACGCTGGTTCGGGGCCCGCGCTGTCGACGCTGAGGCGATCGACTGGTCGGCCGTCGCCTCGGTGATGCATCGCATCCCGCCGTCCTGGCGCAGCGCTTGCATTCAGACGTGGGGAGGGGGCTGGGTCACGGAGTCTAGGATGCGCAACCCGTATGGGCGGTGCGTCTGGGGCTGTCCTGGGGCTCGCGACTCTTTAAAGCATTTTATTCCGTTGTTGCGACCCGATGTATATGCTTGCCCGTAGGCAATGAAGAGCTGACCTCCCCGCGCCCCCGTTTTTTGACCCCCTCCTGGCTCTGGGGCTGATCCACCCCGCCCCCGAGACGTTCAAATCCACAGCTTTTTATTTTCACCTCTATCGGTTGGCCCACCAAGAGAGCAAAGCCCACGCGCCCCCGTTCTCTCAGGAGGCCGCCCAAAGCCTGGCGCGAGCCGCCCTCCGAGCCGTCGAACTGCCCCTCGGCCAACTGGGTCGTCTGCGGCGTCGTCGGCAGTAGAGTGGTTGAAGACGTTGCCCCCCAGACGCTCCAACCTCCTTCCCCTCGCCCTCCCCCTCCATCGCGGCTGCTTACTTCAAGCTGGACTGGGGTGTGTTTGGCGCGCAACCTAACAGTTACCACCAGCTTGTCTGCTCCTCCCCCGAGTCCGGGGCTATTGCAGGTTTTTGTTTTCAGCGCCTTGCTGTCATCACTGGTCGGTGGAGTTGTGGTGACGTCTACCCGGCCGGCGGCTGTAACTCAGGGTCGTTATAGAGTTCAAGAATAGATCCAATGGGTGCGATGATAGTCCCCACGAGGGGCAGCTGATCTTTCTGATGCTGGACGGGCATCGTGTGCTTGGGTTCTGCTGTCGAGTTCATGTGCTCGGTGGCCCCATAGGGAGTTCCACCGAAGCCCCCAGTGGGACCGTCCGCATGCGTCCGGGAAACCCAATTTAGCATTTTCACCCACCCGGTACAGCGCTTCGTGGCCCCATGGGGAGCTCCACCGAAACCCCACGTGGGACCGCCCGCATGCGCCCCGCACGCGCAATTTGACATTTCACCCACCCACTACAGCGTTTCGTGGCCCCATAGGGAGCCCCACCGAAGCCCCAACTGGGACCGTCCGCGTGCGCCCCACACGCCCAACGTGGCATTTTCACCCACCCAGTACAGCGATTCGTGGCCCCCTATAGGGAGCTCCACCGACGGCCCTGGTGCCACCGCCCGCATGCGTTCCCCCCCACCCAGTGCAGCGCTTCGTGGCCCCATAGGGAGGTTCACCGAAGAAGATGTTCACAATGGCGGTACCCACAACTGCATATGGTTGGGTCCTTTTCCAGGATATTGTTTCTCCAATGTGTTTTTGACAATCAGATAGCTTTCGGCGTTTCAAAATGATGCTCCCACTGCAGCGTGGGGTTCATTTTCGGACCAGCGTGGTGCTCCCGTCGCTCAGAACGGCAATGTCGCCCCAGCGCGGGCCACTTGTCTGGATACGAGTCCTTTTTCATCGTTGTCGGCCCCCTCATTTCTCCTTCCCCGCCTTCCCCTGGTCCTCCTGCTCCTCCAGCTCATTCCGCTCCAGTTCCTGCCGCTGCTGCTGTTCGTCCTCGTCTTCCTCCCACATCCTCTTAGCTTTCCTCTTGCTTATCCCTGCTCACCTGCCACCTCCTCGTCGTCCTCCTCTTCCTGTTTACGCAACTCCCGTTTCTCGATTGCATAACACGACGGGGGCATTTGTTAGAGTTCCAGGTCGGCTATGACACGCGCTCGCGGATAGAGAATACATCTGCGCAGTGGGAAGGGATGGGAGGGAGGGATCGGATGTCAGATGTGGCGCGAGCGCACCTGGCTTGCCCTTTCTCCCCGGTCCCTCTCCGAGGTGTCCCCTGCATTCCGCCCTCCCCGCGCCTGTGAGGACGCACGCGGGAGCCCTCCGAGTCCAGGTCGCCTGTTTCGAGGCGTTGGAGCAGCTGGCCTCTGCCAGCATTGCGTGCAGGGCCGAGGCCCCTGCCGCCGCGCAGCCGCCGCCCTCTGCCACCCCGCAGGGCCGCCGCGCCGCGATCGCTCCGGTCGCAGGGTCGAAACTCAACCAGGCCACCGAGCTGCGAAGGGCTGGACCGGGCAGAATCTGATGCGTGCAGCTGCTTTCGGCCCTGCCGCAGGGCGCATTTCTCAGTGCATTGGCGCCTCCCGCGCCGAGGGGCACTGGGAAGACCAGCTACATCAGCTGATTTGCGAATGCCCCCTGTCCTAATACCCCCTCTCGTCCGGCCCGAGAGGGTCTCGAGCCCGACGGGCATGTGTTTTCCCCTGGGTTCAGCACAGCGGCGCAGTGCAAGTTGGAGCCCGCAAACACAGCGGAATGGCAAGCAGATCTCCCGTCCAGGTGGCGGATCGCCCAATAATGACCCAGTCACCCGGTCGCGTCTTTACAGCGCTGTTGGCCCCACCTCCTCTTCGCACCCTCGCGTCCATCCCATCGAGCTTTCTTTCTCTCTCTCTCTCTCTCTCTCTTTCTCTCTCTCTCTCTATGCCCGCCGTGGCTCAAGCAGCTCTGGCCCGAGGGAGCTCGTCCGCGCCCGTGTTTCTCTGCCCCCCTGATCGTGCCGAGGGCCAGCCATGGCGCGCCACGCATCCAGCGCTCTGACCCTGGCCGCGTGCTGCGCCGCACTGACGGCTGCCGCGTGGTGCGCCACGGGCTTCGTGGCGCAGCTCCCCCCCCGCGCGCCAGCGCCGCCGTCGCGGGCGCTCTACCCCGTCAATCCTGATGACCGCGCCTGCCCTCGCGGGAGTACCGCCGAACGCTGGCGACCACTGGCACAGGGCCCTGGGGGAGGATGGAGGAGGAAGGATCAGAAGCAGGAACAGGAGTAGAAGGATAAGGAAGGAATGTTGGGGGTAAAGGCATGCCAGGCGCGCGCACCATATCTGACATCCTACCCCTCCCACCCATCTCTCATTGCGCCGATGTTCCTCTATCTGTCGACGGATGTCCCAGCGGTCCTGGATCTCCCAAGTGACCCCGTCGTGTGACGCGCAATCTCAGAGGAGGGGGGGGGGCTGCGTAAATGCACAGGGGGAGGAGGAGGAGAAGGAGGAGGATGAGGAGGAGGAGGAGAAAGGAAAAGGAAAAGGAAAAGGAGGAGGTGGCGGATAAGGAGGAGGATGAGCAGGAGGAATAGGAGGAGACATACGGAAGAGGAAGGAGGATCAGGCAGAGGACGAGCAGCAGCAGCAGCAGGAGGCGGGAGGAGGTGAAAGGATCGGGGCGACAGCGACGAGGAAGGAATCGGATCCAGAAAAGTCGCCCGAGCCAATCTGAATGACGGGGGCAAAGCGCCGATCCTGAAATGTGGCCCAGGCTGCAGTCGTGGGGACGTCATTTTGGAAGACCGAAGACGTCCTAGAAAGAACCGAGTCATGAGGAAATGCAGAAGTTGAGTTCCGCTGCTAACAAGCAGCAGGCGGGAGAAAAAGGGCCCCGCTCGGAGAGGATGTGGGGAGGGAGAATAATAGCATTCATGCTGAAGAGTTGTCGAGGGGTAGAGGCGAGAGAAGAGACAGGATAGAGGAGGAGGGCGTGGGGACGATGAGGAAGATGAGTAATCGGTTGACTGGCGTACAGTCATAATCCATAGTAAGGACCCGCGCTTTTCTCTAGGGTGCCCTTGGGTCCCTGCCTGCCTCTGCCTCTGCGTCCCCGGGCCTACGGCCGCCTGCCCAGAGAGCTGAGCGCTGCCGCGGTCCGCGCGGTGCATGGGTGTTCGCGCCAGGGGCCTTGGTGCTCAATCCAAGGGATTGCTTCGCGGCCAGTTAAACTCAGCCCGGTGGCGTGGCGCACGCCAACACGATATATGAGCGCGCTGGAAGGGATTCGCGCACGACGCTAGGGGATCTGAGTACTTTGAGCGAGCGTTTTCCACGCTGTGGTGGTGGTTTTCCATTGTTGTTAGCATGTGCATTCGGGCGACTGTGTACTTCCTTTTGTCGCCGAAGTCACACATATACTTTTATTTTTCGCCGAAGTCACACTTTCACTTCGGTTTTTCGTTGAGTTCACACTTCCGTTTGCCGCCGCATCGGATTTCACATTATGATTATTGTTCACGTTTTCACATTTGTACTTCGTGAGCTTGTAGAATAAAGCCCGGTTGTTGGCAGTTTGCCTGCTCCGGGGCGTCATAATTGTATGCCCTGTTTTTCATCGTGCACCAACCCTACTCCCGATTACCATTCCTATTGTGCCTCCGTGCCTTTGTGCCTGTGGGAATGTACATCGCTTGGCGTATTCGCAGTAGGTTCGTTACTTGTATTCGAATTCCATGTCGTGTATCAATTCTCATCCTCGTGCGTTGTTATGGGCTTTCGCAGCGCGGTCTCCATAACATTATTTCCCTCGAGCGCCCGGGTGCCAGTAAGTCGTGATAGGGAAGCGGGACAAGAGCCAACAGGCCGGACTGACAACGCAATCAGTTAATCCGTAAGGGCTTCGCCCCCTGCCGCCGGCCCCCTCTCTCGGAGAATGGGCCATGGAAAAGCTAAGTTATGAGGCTTTGGCGCTGTCGCGCAGCAGTATCGGAACTTCATGCGAGGCCGATTCGCAATCGGCAAAACCAACTGATCACAAGAGGGGTTACCACACAGGGCGATTGGTAAGACGTGTATGGTTTACGAGCTTGGTTACCACACCTTGGGATTAAAGGGCCGAGGGAGTACTCGCAGTTTGGGTTACCACGCCTTGCGATGGATGTCCGTGAGGGGTGGCACCGAATTTCAGAAATGTGGCAAATCCCTTGTGTTTTTGGACCCTGACCCCGCGGATCTGCGTGAGGGGTGGCACCGAATTTCAGAAATGTGGCAAATCCCTGTGTTTTTGGACCCTGACCCCGCGGATCTGCGTGAGGGGTGGCACCGAATTTCAGAAATAAGGCAAATCCTTTGTGTTTTTGGACCCTGACCCCGCGGATGTGCGTGAGGGGGTGCACCGAATTTCAGAAATGTGGCAAATGCCGTGTGTTTTTGGACCCTGACGCCGCGGATCTGCGTGAGGGGTGGCACCGAATTTCAGAAATGTGGCAAATCCCTTGTGTTTTTGGACCCTGACCCCGCGGATCTGCGTGAGGGGTGGCACCGAATTTCAGAATGTGGCAAATCCCCTGTGTTTTTGGACCCTGACCCCGCGGATCTGCGTGAGGGGTGGCACCGAATTTCAGAAATGTGGCAAATCCCCTGTGTTTTTGGACCCTGACCCCGCGGATCTGCGTGAGGGGTGGCACCGAATTTCAGAAATGTGGCAAATCCCCTGTGTTTTTGGACCCTGACCCCGCGGATCTGCGTGAGGGGTGTCGATTTCGAGCCCCCCCAGCAATTCAGACAACGCGCCCAGGGGGTGCTAAAAATCCCGTTTGGGCCTCCCCCACCCTCGCGCGGTCAATCAACTAGTTACAGTAACCAGCAAGAAGTCAACTAGTTACAGTAACCAGCAAGAAGCAGAACTGTAACACTGGAAACTACAAGCTACAACTGGTACTGGAAACTGCGAACCCGTGCCTCGCAGCCTGGTGGCCCCACAAGGGGGCCGGCGGATTTTTGGCTCATCCAGGAGAGTGCAGATCCTAGATCTCGAGTGTCCAGTTGTCCTTAGGTTTTGAATTTAACGTTGTTGGACAAACCTTGAACGAGGCACAGGAAGGAGATGAGGAAGATGGGGCCCCAAGAGCACCATAGCTTCTTAATTGTTGCCTCCTGCTACTATTTCTCCGCACGCAGTTTCGTTTCCCGTTTTTCTCCGTCGTTTACCTCGGCCAACTGGTGCAATGTCCTGGAGCGTCCGCAGCTTCGCGAAGCGTTTGGAAACCAACCCTGGACTGCTCGCCATCGAATCTGCATATGCCGCAAGCTAAGCAATCGTTGTTCCGCGCCGCTGTTTCTCCACGTCGACCTCGTCTCGCCTTCAGGTGTGTTACCCTCCCGTCGTGCGGGTTCGCCGCTTCGTCCCTCGTTTTGTTTCTGTCGCATGGGTGAATGCCGTGGCAAGCGCGATGGGCCACATATTCATTCGGTTGCTCCAAGAAGGCAACTACGCAGTAGACACCGCGGTGAGGGGACATTGAGTCTGCCCAACAAATCGTGAAGTGGCAGTGCGTAGCGCGGTCCCTTGTCTTTGAATAGGCGTATGTTCAGCTTCGATGTGCGATATTATTGTCCGGTTGGGTCGATATTTGGCACTGCCACACAGCGTGAATGGTCCACGCGCCAGGTCCGTGACAATTGTGGTACTTACCGTCACTGGTTTAGCCAATCGTGCGCAAGTTGTAGTAGCACTCGTTTCTTATGTCTTCCTTTATGTTCCTCATTGTTCTCATCTTTCGGCTTCAGATCGGCGTCGCGCCAACATACTTATACTATATGTGCGTCGCCCCCCAGGTGCGACGCGCGCTCCGAGAACTCTTGTAGTATATGCGTCGTGGCGGGCGCTCTCTGGTCACACCGCTCGGGAAACGATCTACTACAAGTTGGGTCTATTGTATGTTCGGTCGGACGCGCGCCTCCAAGGAGGACATATAGTACTAGTCTGTCCCTGTGCGCCCCATCAGAGTCTCAGCTTATGTGCGTAGTTATCTTTGGGCCGGTGCTGCTGCCCAACTTCATTCACCGCCTCTATCTGTTTGGCCTCCCCCATTTCCTTCCCTGCGTTTTCCTTCTTCCTTCGCTGTCGTCTCGCTGCTGCTGTTGCCGCTGCTCCCCATCCTTGCGTCCTGCTCTTCTTTGTGGTCCTCCTCTTCCTCCGCTTTCTGCTCCTCAGGCTCCTTGTCCTCATCCGCCTTCTCCTTTTCCTCTTCTCTCTCCCTTTCGATGCTCTGCCCCTTCCTTCCGAGCCCACTCCCAGGGCCAAGCGCTTGCTGATTAGAATTCGTGACTATCCCGCGCCCAGGTTGTCGCCCTTGATGGGGTCGCCACCCTGGCGGCGAACATGAGGCTCTCTCGGGGCTCGAGCGCGCGCAGGTCAAATTGAAGGGGCCCGGATGGCGGCGAGATTCCCAGTTTGGGTTGTTGACACATCTCAGTTTTGCCAGTTGCGTAGGCGAGGCGACGGAGAACCCCTCGCATCACAAGGAGGCGGGTGATGGGTGGCCTGGCCGCCTTCGTGGAGATCTTCCGCAAGCGGGCTGACAGTCGCCAAAATTTGATCCCTTGTGAGACCGTGTGAAACTCGTTGTTGAGTGTGCCTTCTGACCAGTAAAGGTGTGCTGTGCGTAGCTGGCCACAGCGCGCCTGCCAGGGTAAGCAGTGTTTGTTTGTTTGTGTGTGTATGTTGTGCCAGGAGGGGAGCGAGGTTTCGATATTATCGAATCTGGAACACGGACCACCTCGACGCCCCGTGACGACGACAGACGACCATCCGGAGGATCCTGCCACGGCTGAACTGGGGCCTGCTAGGCCTGAAGGAACGTGGTTTCGATATTATCGAATTTCCAAGGCGAAACGGGGCCCGTTAGGCCAGATGCAAACCGTGGTGTCTCGAGCCCCAACCCCTTCCCCGACGACCGCCTTGAGCACGGACCACCTCGACGCCCAGTGACGACGACAGACGACCACCTGGAGGGCGAACAAGGAAGACGTGACGCTTATCCCCACAACGGAAACTCCGACCCCGCCACGAGAGCGCACCCTGGACCGGACCGTGATGACGTTGACGAACCCCCAGTGCCGATGGACAATGCAGAACCGCCGCTCAGTTCACCTGGCGCGGCGATCCTGAGCCATCACGCCACTGCAGAAACACCACGCCCACTCGGCGACCCAGCAGAACCCTCAGGGCAGGATGACTTCTCCCCAATGGACGTGGACGGCCCCCCCCTCGGCCCACCCAGTCCGACAGTGCCCCGCAGCAATAGCCTCAGTAGGCCAACCGCTGAGGCCAGGGAGGCGACCAGCACTCGAGGAGACCTCGAACTGCCGATCGACGGGGGGCCCGAGGCAGGTAGGAATACCCACAGCGAGCCCGTGTCCGCAGCCGTAGCCGAAGTCGGGGGCTGCCGCGACAGCCCTGACCCGGGCCTCGCCCTGGCCACACAAGCAGGTACACGGCCGTCTGCCGCCGCATCCCAGTGCCCGAGCCAGCAGACCTCTTTTAGAGAAACTGGGCCCAGGAGGAACAACGGACCAGCCTCGCAGAGGCAGGACAACGAGGCCAACCGCCAGCTTGTCGACAGAAACCCCTTCGCGCCCATTCGCCCTCCCTCCCCTGGCAGCGCGTCTGCACTAGCGGATAGCGAGCCACAGCCATTCCCTCTCGAAGCCAGGGCCTCATCGGGGGTGGCGACGGACGCCCCGAAAAGACCGGTGCCCGACAACGCGCCTGCGGCCGGAACTATCCACAGCATCCCCACATCGGGCTATCGCCTCGCGGTTACTGATGGGGGCGCGCCCACCCACGGGCGAGTACAGGCACATATCCGTCGGCGAACGCCATCGAGAGGGGCCTGCCCCCGCACGCCGCAGGGCAGCGCCCATCTCTGCCCCAGCCGCCGGAGGCGATCTGGCCCCTGCCTGGAGGCCAACCGCACGGCCCGCCGCGACACGCATGGCCTCGCCTGGCGTTCCCGGCCGAGCAGCCGCCGTGCCGCGCGAAGCCATAGGCGACTCTGGCGGCGGGCCCAGCCAGGCGGGGCTGTCGCAGAGTAGCAAGCGAGAGCAGCATGGGGGGCAGGATCCTGACGAGCCCCACGATAAGGATGTGGCTGCCGCCCGCGGGGAGGGTACGGAAGCGGTGCCGGCGCAGGAATCGGAGCAGGGGCGCGAACTGGCAACCACCCACTGCCACTCTCCCATGGCCGGCTCTCAGCACCCTGGCCCTTTCCCCCCTGGCAGCGGCGCGGTCTCGAGCACCGAAGAACGGCGATGGCCAGGCCGCAACGGTCCTCCAACGCGTTCGCCTGGCAACGGGTGGAGGCCCGGCCTTGCCCTGGCGACTGGCGGCTTCCCTGTTTCCTTGCCGCCGCTGAGTCGAACCCCCGCCCCTGGCGACGCCGACACCGCTGGCGGGCCCGGCGCGCGGCAGACGACAGGCGGCGGACGCAGCAGCAGCAGCAGCAGCAGCAGAAGCAGAAGCATCAGCAGCAGCAGCCGCCGCTCCAAGGACCCCCCGCCGACTACCCCGCCGCGGGAAGCGAGGCCCGCCGCGCGCCAAGGGCCCGAACCCTTGGACCCCGACACGGGACAGCAGTTGTATAGAATCCAGATCAGCTGCATCAAGTGGGGTCTCCCCGGGGAGACACCTGGTGAGACGATAAATCGGCTCCGAGCCACCCTGGGTGCGATGTTCACAGGCGCCTGGCACGCGTTCGCCAAGCAGCACGGGAACGGCACTCGACCCACGACGACACGACCAGCAAACCTGCGTCAGTTTCCTGCACTCCTTCCGCAACCACAACTCCGACGTGAGGGCCATGAGCGACGCGCTGAACCTCGGCGTCAATTGGGCCCAGTTGCAGCAGCGATTCCCGAGCCGCAGAGAAGGCGCGGGCAAGGGGCGCCAGGTACCCCCCTGCAGCGAGGCGCGAGGAGCGGACCAGGGTGACGGGCGCGAAGAGGACCAGGCTCGCAGCTCCGGGTACCACGACACCTGGACTGGAAAGCGCCCGCGGCACTGACCAGCCGCCGACCTGACCCTCTCGCCCTACGGCAGCACGACACAACCGTCCCCACACTCCCACCACCTGTGCCCCCGGCCCCCACCCCTGCCTCTGCCCCCCACCTGCACCCCTTTGCCCCCGTGGCACGCACGCTCCCCGGGCTACGACTGCTTGCCATTCCACCTGTTCCCCGTCTTTTCCGTTCCCTCCCCCCCTTCTCCCGTCTTTAAGTGATGCGGGATCTTGTGTCCCACCTGTACCCATCGGGGGCTGCTCCCCCTGTGAGCACCTGCGATGCCGACTGACGCGACGACGACTGGCGTGGCGCGCGTCTTCTTTTCCCCCCCACCTGTGCCCCGTTGCCCTCGTGCCACGCACGCTCCACGGGATGCGGCTGCTTGCCACTCCACTTGTCTTTAAGTGATCTGGGACCTTATGTCCCACCTGTACCCTACCGTCCCCGCGCTCCCACCACCTGCTCTCCCCCCCCCCTCTCCTGTCTTCAAAGGATCTGGGACTTTGTGTCCCACCTGTACCCATCGGGGGCCGTTCCCCCTGTGAGCACCTGCGACGTGGACTGAAGCGACGACGACTGCAGCAGTCCGCCCAGTCCTTACCTGCTGTGGGACCTTGTGTCCTACCTGTACCCCGAGGGGCCCTGTCCCCCACGTGAGCACCCGCGGTGCGGGCTGATGCGCCTACGGCTGGCGTGGGATGCCGGCCTCTCTCGTCCCTGTTCGCTTCTTCCTCTCCCCCTCCTGCTCGTTCCCCCCCCTCCCATGGCGGCAGCGCCCGGCACTGCGCGGCTTAGGCCCGGTGCTAGGCGCTGCACCTTGCCGCCTCGGCGGCCCCGCCTGCCATGGCGCTGCGCGGCTTAGGCCCGGCCCTTGGCATCGCGGCCGGCGGCGCCTGCGCGTCCTGTTCGGCGCCGCCTGTACTCCGGGCTTCGCCCTACATTGTGTTTGGCTGCTTGCCGTCTTCGGGCTGACGGGCTCGCAGCTCACCGGCTCCCAGTCGGTCTTGGGCGGCCAGCTCCTCGGAGGCCGCACCTCAAGCTACTGCGCCTGGCCGTGGGCTGGGCACCCGCACCGTGCTTTACTTGCACCAGCTGGTGGCACAACGTTGCTCATCGCCTACGTGGTGCTCTTCTTCTCCTTGGACGTCGACCTGGTCATTTGGCGCGTCCCCCCCGCAGTGCTTGAGGATGGTGTTCACGATGCGCTGCCGACGGCAACACTTCTCTTCCGCCTACCAGGACTTCGCCCTCGGTTCGTGTACAAGACGTTCCTTGCCCTGCGCGTCCAGTACGGCACCGCGTGCACCCCTAGCTTCGCCCGCTCTCGGCCGCCTGAGGCCCCGCCTTCCCGCGCCTTGTCTCCCCAATTCGTGCTGCGCGCAGCCCGCTTAGTCTTTACCGGTAGAGGTTCGCTCTCGGCCCGCAGATCAAAAAAGTGTGTGTGTGTATGTTGATGGTATCGGCCATGCGTGAAGCTTGCATGCCGACTTTCAGTTTAGTTCTCATATCGGCCCGCATTTCGACTCGCGGTATTTGGGTGCGTTTGAGGGATCAAAGGGAAGGGTCTTCCCTTGAATTTGATCACGTGAGCAAGCAAGAAAGACATGGTCCAGTTCTAACTACGACGATCATCCATTCTCTTGTTTCTCAATTTCCTTTGAGCTGAGAACGGCAATGATGATACGCCGAAGGGTCGGCGGATTTAGAACAGCTCGTGGTTTGACCCAGTTGCGTGCGCATTCACTCCGCACTCCTGCTCAGTAGCCCATGCCCTTCCCTTCTCCGCTCACATTGCAACACAAAGGAAACAATTTTGCCACTCTTCCGTCGAAGCCCATAGCTGTGAAGTGTATCGTGCTGCTCCTCCTCGGAGCCACCCCGTGTTTCGCCCTTCGACTTTCCCACCCCCGTCCGCGGCGCTGGCCAGGCTCCACACCTCCGCGGTTGTGCAGTCCTCGGGGCTGTCCCTCCTGCGGGAGTTGGCCTGCAAGGACCGGCCGCGGCGGCGGGCGGCAGGTGCGCAGGGCGGCGGCGGCCAGGCGGTTTGGCTAGTCTGGATCAGACAGTGGTTGGAGAGCTGAGACCCCTTTGGGGGCAGCGCGTCACTTACACGCAGACGGGTAGCGTCCATGGCGTCGAGCCTGTCAGTGGCTTCGCTGTGACGGACGTAGAGCCTCCATCGGCTCCGCCAAGAGCTGCGGCTGCCCCTCCTTGCGTTGTGCGCGCCTTGGCTGTTGCGTGTTGCGCGCCTCGAGCTGTTGCGACAGCGAGTGGTCGGCCCCGAGCAGTGGCGACTTGAATCAGTTTGAGGGTTGGAGTTGGAGCGCCCGCATCGGTGATCAAGCGTCCCGCACACACCGCACCATGCGAGCATCTTTGGCGAGCGCTGCATGCGAAAAATGGATTGGATATCGTGTTGATTGTGGCGATATTGATGATGACGGGATGGACGACTGAGGAGAATGACGACAATGCCAATGATGGCGATGATGAAGATGAAGATGATGTTGCCGCTGATGAACACGATGATGTTGATCAGATACTGGCGATGCGATGATGCTGATGCTGGTGACGATGATGATGCTGCTGTTAATGACGACGGTAGAGATGGTGATGCTGCTGCTGATGATGCAGATGACCCTGATCATGATGACTACAGCGAGGGCAATTCTGAGTATGTAGGTTGTGGTGACGATGGCGCATGCGATGTGATAGGTTAGGTAATGATGGCGATCACAACGACGCGTTTGATGCTGTTGCTGCTGCTACTCATGGTGAGGGTACGTATGATGACGATGAAAATGAGGTTTATATGGACGATGCTGACGATGCTTAGGATGGTGTTGCTGCTCATGGTGATAAGGGCGATGATTAGGACGTTAGTGCTGCTGTTGCTGGTGATGATACTGATGGTGATGATGTTGATGATGTTGATGATGATGAGGAGGGTATTGACGATGGCGTCGACGACGATGATGAGGATGATGCTGATGATGATGCTGACGATTGTGATACTGATGACGACGATGGTGATCATGGTGGTGATGACTATGATGATGAGGATGGTTATAGTGATGATGATGTTGATGATGGTGAGTATGATTATGTTGATGATGTTGATCACGATGCTGATGATGATGCTGACGATGGTGACGATGATGATTATGATGACGATGCAGATGATGATGCTGATGATGATGACGATGGTGACGGTTATGGGGATGATGGTGATGATGATGATGATGATGATGATGATGATGATGTTGGTGATGTTGATGTTGATGAGTATGATGATGCTGATGATGTTGATAATGGTGGTAGTGGTGGTGGTGATGCTGATGACGACGTCGACACTGATGATGCTGATTATGGTGATGGCGGCGATGTCGACGACGACGACGATAATGATGATGACGAGGATGATGATGATAATGGGAATTATGATGATGGTGATGATGATGATGATGATGATAAAGATAAAGATAAATATAAAGATGACGGTGCCGATGACGACGATGCCGATGACCATGGCGGCGGCGAGAGAGCTGGTGGTGATGGTGAGGTGCTTGCTGCTGCTGATGGTGATGATGATGCGGATGAGGAGGAGGACGGGAGGATGAAATTGAGGGGGAGGTGAGGAGGGAGGCGATGAGGACGAGGAGGGAAGAAGACGAGGAGGGATTTAGACGTGGAGGAGGAGATGGAGGAGGACGGGGAGGAGAAGGATGAGGAGGAGGAACAGGAACAGAAGGAGGAGGATGAGGAGGAAGGGGGAGGAGGATCAGGGACGAGGAGAGGGGGGGGAAGGAGAACGAGGAGGACGAGGAGGATGGTAACCGACACACGTGGAGGTTTTTCTTTTAGGAGGGTGATGACGATGAGAATCATTATGCGGAGGAGGCGGGACAGGATGCTGATGATAATGATGGTGATGATGATGATGATGATGATGATGATGATGATCACCATGCTGCTGCTGCTGATGGTGATGCTGATGATGATGGCGATGTTGCTGCTGCGGCTGATTATGATGCTGCTGATGATGATGCTGAATCTGCTATTGACGATGATTATGACGGTGGTGCTGGTACGATGCCGATGCTACCGCTGTTGTTGATGAGGATTGAGGGGGATGGCGATGCTGATGATGATGCTGATGCTGGTGATGCCGATGATGATGCTACTACTGATGCCGATGCTGATGCTGATTATGCTCTTGACGATGATGATATTGATGATGCTGACGATGCAGATGATGCTGCTAACTATGATGATGCTGATGCTGACAATGATGATGCTGATGGTGATGATGATGACGATGCTGCTGCTGCTTCTGATGAGGATGATGATGATGATGATGATACTGAAGATGATGATAATAACTGGGTGTTCTTTTGTCTCCTCCTCTTCCCTCCCCTCCTTCTTCCTCCTCCTTCTTCCTCCTCCCCTCTCCCGCCCGAGGCTGGGGCTATTGCAGGTTTTTGCCCTCATCCCTGCACTGCTGCCGACTCTCCGACATTGGGGTGATACGTTTTCAGGCCAATTCGTATCATGTGGTATCTGCATTGTCGTTTCTTGCGTCCGTCTCCACACGATTGGTTCGGAACAAAACGGCTTTCAAGTGCTCCCGGGCTCCCGGCATTCGGGTTACGACGGTGGTTCTGGCCTCTCCGCTCCAAGCGTACAAACGCTCAAGCGTGAAGCAAAAATCGTCTCGATAGGAACCGGCCTTCGCGGCTAAACGTGATATCAACATGGTGTGGCGACGTTAACCCGGCCGGCCATTTGAGCAGCATAATAATAATGATGATGATGATGATGATGATGATGTTGATGATGATGATGTTGTCGATGACGATGCCGATGCTGACGCTGATGATTAGAATGATGGTGATGAAGAGGGTGACGATGCGTATGATGGTGATGCTGATGATACTGCTGCTACTGATGATGATGCTGATGGTGATGATGATGGTGATGATGATGATGATGATGATGATGATGATGCTGATGATGATGATGATGATGAGGTTGCTGCTGCTGATGATGCTGATGATGCTGATGATGCCAGTGCCGATGCTGCTGCTGCTGCTGATGATGATGATGCTGATGGTGATATGGTGATGATGATGATGATGATGATGATGCTGCTGCTGCTGATGATGATGATGATGATGATGATGATGATGATGATGATGATGATGATGATGATGATGATGATGATGATGATTAGGGTGATGAGGGTGATGAGGGTGATGATGATGAGCGTGTTGAGGATCTTGAGCCATCGGCAGCAAGCCTCGTCCTCAAAGTTTTAGGTGCGGGGGGGGAAGCTAGCGGCCACTTGCTGACCTTATGGGGGCGAGTGGTGTCCGTAGAACCCGTGTTCATGCCATCGGCCACATAACATTGTTTCAGCAAAGGATGTGTATCCAGCGTCCCCATTTCTAGGTCTCGGCAATATTTCGGGGTGGGACTCCAGATCTTTGGGCGGGGATTGGGAACCACCCCAGATCTGATCGAGCGGTCTGGGGCTCCCCTGTCGGAGGCTCTTTGGCCAGTTGGAGCCGACAGGTTGGCGCCGCGGCGCCAGAAAGGAAGACGTGGTTGGGGGGATCAGGGGAGTGGAGTGGAGTGGACCCTGTTCCTTCAGGGTCGTACCAGGGACCGCCTCTCATCCTTTCCCCGCCTCTCCTTTCTGTGGCCGCCAGAACGCCCAGAAGGAGGCTCAGAGCGAGCCCCCCTCCCCCGCCCTCGAGGAGTACACGGGGTGTCTGTGGATTCCCCAGGGGGAGGGGGATCTTTGGACTCTCTTTGCAATTCTTGTTTGGGGGGCCCAGGGGGGCCCCTCTTTGGACCCTCTTCGGCTCTCTTGGAACAGGCATACGGCCCTCTGGGGGCTTTGGGTGCCGTCTGAAGAAGGTGGAGGAGGGGGATGAAGAGGAGAAAGAGGAGGAGGAGGAAGAAGACCAGGGAGAAGGAGGAGGTGGAGAGGACATTGGGAGGATGGCGAGGAGGAGGTGGAGGAGGAGGAGGATGAGGAGGACGAGGAAGTGGGAAGTCGGCTGTGTTGATATGTTGCAAAAAATGTTGGCCTGGGATAAAGCAAGAGGAGGGTATGTACAAGGAGGTGGAGGAGGGAGGAGTGGTGGACATGAGTAAGGAGGAGGGAACAGAGGAGGTTAGGAAAAGTATGCATGGAAGCTGACGGGGCATCATGCGATGAGGAGGAGGAGGAGGAGGAGGAGGAGGAGGAGGTGGAGGGAGGAGGAGGAGGAGGAGACCAAGGCTAGGGCTAAGGCGCATTGGGGGCGGTGCCGAACACAGGGCCCCGACAGGGGCCTTGAAATCGAGCTAGGGAGAGCCCCTGCGAAATATATGGAAGCACTGCGTCCCTCAGCTATTCGCTGTTGGCCGTGCCTGGACGCCCTGGGGATTTCTCTGAAAAAGCCCAGGGGGCCCGTTGCCAGAGGGACCTCCCTGATTGCAAATATTCAAGGAAGAAGAGGGCAGACCAGGAGTTGCCTTGCATGGGTACCCCCCGTCGCTGCCTAGGACACATTAGATGGTGCACTGACGCCACTGCAGAAGATGAGGGCCTTCGCTGCCTTGGGCACCCAAGTGCAGCGCTCGCTCCCCCTCCCGCCCCCTCCTGACTCCCTGCCCCAGGGCTCGCGGCAAGCATCTCTAATCAAAGGGCCCCACGAGATCTCGTGAACAAGCCCTAAACCTGCGCCCTGAGGGAGGCCCGGGGGTGAGCCGAGCGGCGGGGGGGAGGTGACGAGCCTCGAGGCAAACGCTCCCAGCACGGAAGACGATTACTTTTCCACGCGCGAAATCCGCTCCAGTCTTGTTTTTTCTCGCGGGCAATGGCGTGCAGTGGCAACATGTACAAGGTAAGATACTGGGATACATCGAACATGTTGTATTTCTCTCCTTTAAGCATCACTGCACCGAGTTCCCCCCTGCATCGAAAATCACACATAACTTCGTTCTCTAGGCCCTCGGCCTGCACTCGCGAAGCGATATTCCGAGATGAATACATATATATATACACTTATCTTCTCGTAAGTAAATCATATATGCTGTCCATCAGCACAAGGTCTGTCTGGGCTCTTGCGGTACCTTGTATCGTATATTCGGCCTCTTCCAGATTAGCCCGAGTAAGATCCAGAGTATTTCTTTATGTTCCGGACAACCCGCAATGAGACGACAAACGTCCGTATTCATGTGACTGAAAATCCAACTTGTCTCGGGTAAGTACGCCAGTCAGGGTTATTATGTCTTTGAGCTGTTCGATAGCAAGTGACATGTCATCGGCCTTCTTTTCGGCCGAAATCGTAAGTAGCATTATATTAGCTTCGTCCAGCTCCGCAATAATAGGAACAAGTATGCTTTGTTGCTTGTCAGACAATGCATGTTGATTCGACAAACTTTCAAACTCGCGTGTCAGAACATTCAACATGTCGTGGGTAAAAACGTCCGTGCGGGCCACTTGTTACCCTCAACTGTTCGATGGCAGTGGTAATGTTTTTCTTCTCATCGGGCTGCTGCTTGCGAAAGCCATATTTCTTCATGCACATACGTCCGCTACGCTCGGGTTCAAAGACCCTCCTGCCTTGACTGCACTCTTTACCCATGGCTGGACGCTCCTCCTCCTCCTCGGCGTTCAAAGAATTGGCCAATCAATTTATATTATCATGCTGTTACCTTGTTGCGTCCCGCCTTGAAGAAGGGAGAAGAGTACGCTTGCTTGCATGAGTGTTCGTTTGCAACGAAGATCCCACCGAAGGTAAATACGAATACTTGCAACATGGTACGCGCGTGACATCATGCGTGCTTTCCGCATGTTGATCTACCTCCAGATATGGCGAAGTTGTAGATTCTTCGCTTGTTGCGCCAAATACACATAACAACATGTTGCTGATATTGATGCTGGCCCTTTAGGGGTGGATCGCGCGTGTGCGTCTGATCCTGGCTCTTCGTCTCGACGAGGAGGTCGCACCTTTAGCATGGCTAAGAGGCGGCACATCACTTTCGAGAGACAACCCCGGGGGCGGAAGCAGAAGCATGAATGTATGTGGTTGGGGAAGTGTGTCCTAGCTCCCCCCTCGGCCTTTACAGTAAGCGTAAGTGGCCCGTGGGCATGCGGCTGGTTCCTTTGGAATTCTCGGGCGGGACGTTCCCTCAGTTGCTTGCTCCGAAAAGCCGTCTAGGAGGAGGAGGAGGAGGAGGAAGGGGAGGAGGAGGAGGAGGAGGAGGATGAGGAGGAGGAGGAGGGGGACGGAGGAGGAGGACAACGCGGAGTCGGAGGAAAGGAGGGCGATGTCGCAGTGTTCATTGATTGCATTTCCTTGCAGAGGACGCCACGGTGCGTGCTGCCGCAGTGGCGGACGGCTGCGTGGCACTTGTCGCTGGGGTGACGCGCGGGCTGAACCGACTCCGCCTTCCCTTTTCTCGTGCTCTTTCTCTCGTTCGGCCCTCCGTGTTTCCCAAGCGGCTTGAGCTTGATTTGCGATTCCGCGTCCCGGTTTGCCGTTCCGACTGCACTGTGCATTCGCCAGTTCTGCGACAAAGAAGATTTCCCCAGCGGCTGTTGGCAGCATGTATTAGAGTGACCAGCGCGACCTGTTGGTTGTACCACCTGTATTTGTAGATGGTCGGTGCTACGCTCGGCGTACCTACGCGGTGGTCCTGGGAATTGCATCAGTTGCGGGCAAGGGTGAGGTGGCCCTGCTGGGAGACGGAGCGGGCAGTGCTGATGGAGGGTCCCCGATCTGCCGCCCGTGTCCGAAGGGAATTCGCTTGGAGCCCTGTTCTCAGAGTTGGAAGACGGGGGGTCAGAGTTGGTGAATGGGAGGGGGCTGGCTTTGCCTCGAGGAAGCGCGTTAAGGCGCGTGGATTAGCGGCGGGCCCTGCTTCCCGTCCGTCGCCAAATCGGGCGGCATTGGCCTCATGTCGTCGGGGGCATTTTCTCCGATGCCGAGATCCACGGATACGTAATCCATGTTAGCGTGTGCCCGATTTACCATTCTCAAAAAAGGTGGCAGGCGGGTTGCTTGCGGTTCGCGGGCGGGCTACAGGCGGTGATAAGGTTTACGGCATGCGGGGCACGTGCCTGGTTGAAGGCACTATGCGAACCTGAAGCGGCCTTGCTGGCGCCCACTCTGTGCAACAGTCAGTGCGGAAGTCATGTCGAGGGCTGGCCGTCGGGGGCACGCAGGAGTTCCACATGCCGTCCGCCGTGGACGCAGATTTCTCGTACAGTTTTCGTGGCAGGCTGATCGTTGACATGTCGCAGGTTGGTCGTATATCGGCCGCGGGGTTGGTCGTATGTAGGCCGCCAAAATTTGAAAGACGCGTGCGTACAGCTTGCGCAGGTGTGCACTCACTCGTGCCGAGCAGAGCGTCGACCTGGCTCGTCTGTAACTAAGCTCCAAGCAAGCCGTGACGGGTTCGGCGGGCCCTTCGTCGACAGCATCATGTGGTACGCCCCGCTTGTGCTCACCCCATTCCTAGGTAGAGGCGCTATTTAGTTTGCCCGCTGCGGTCCAGCCACGAGTAGGACCGCGGATAACTGGAGATCCATCGGGACGCTCGGGAGCGGGGTGGAGTCCGTCAGGGGAGCCACAGTCACCAGCATGGGGGTCGCTTGCCCTCTCCAGGTGCAGCTGGCAACAACCTTTCGTTCCCGCGCTGCGGTGCACGAAGCAGGCAGCCCAAAGCAGCAGACTTGGAGTGCCGGCGACAGAGCAAGCTTG